TGCATGTTGAACTATTTAGACCTTGTGGATTTTTGAGGGAAGTTTCCTTGACAACTGTTTTCATTGTTTCTTTTATAACTGTTCTATGTAGATATTTTTGTCTCTTTTGGCATTACTTTTTCACAACAGGTTATATTTTTCCAGGAGATTATCCACTTAATCTTAGTTTTTAAATTAATTTTCACAGAGTTGACCAAGTAATTCCCATGAATATTTACATTTCCTCTGTGTCTGCAAAAATTGGCCACATATTGATGTTCCAGGGTTATCCATTATATTTAAGAATTTGTTTTATATGTATTTTCAAATTTGTTGTGTGAAATTGTTCATGGTGTTCTCTAGTTTTAGCTACCAGTTGTTTTTGTTTTGTTCATTTTTTTGTGTGGGACAAGTGGGTGGAGAGGTGTTCTTGGAGATATATGCAACTTCCTATAAGCCCAGCGTTGCATTAGAATGTCTGTTTTATCCATTATTTTGTTATGAAATGGTGAGGTTACTGTACTATAATTCCAATAGTGAAAGTCCTAGTTCTCCCCCCATGCAATAGTATTCTTCATTTCATTGGTGGTTTTATTTTTCTCTTCCAATTATTTCCTTGGTTCTGCTGATAAACTTTTTACCCATTTCTGTTTTCACGTTGTTTCTTCCTCATGCATTGATACAGGCATACTTCATTTTATTGTACTTTGTTTTATTGTGCTTTGCAGATATTGCATTTTTTTACAAATGCAAGGTTTGTAGGTTTGTGGCAACCCTGCATCAAACGTCTATTGGCACCAGTTTTCCAGCAGCACGTGCTCACTTTGTGTCTCCGTGTCACATTAGTAATTCTTGCAATATTTCAAACTTTCTCGTTATATTATTATTATACCTGTTATGCTGATCAGTGATCTTTGATGTTACTATTATTATTGCTTTGGGGTGCCATAAACTGTATACATATGAAATGGCAAATTTAATCAATAAATGTTGTGTGTATGTGTTTTGACTGCTCCACTGATTGGCCATTCTCGTTTCTGTCCCTTTCCTCATGCTTCCCTATCCCCTGACATACAACAATATTGAAATTAGGCCAAATAATAATCTTACCTCGGCCTCTAAGTGTTCAAGTGAAAGGAAGAGTTGCAAATCTCCGACTTTAAATTAAAAGCTAGAAATGATTAAGCTTACTGAGGAATGCATGTCAAAAGCCAAGATAAGCCAGAAGCTAGGCCTTGTGCACCAGTTAGCCAAGTTGTAAATGCAAAAAACAAGTTCTTGAAGGAAATTAAAAATGTTGCTTTAGTGAACTCATGCATGGTAAGAAAATAAAACAGCCTTATTGCTAATACGGAGAAAGTTTTAGTGGTATGGACAGAAGATCAAACCAACTACAACATTCCCTTAAACCAAAGCATAATGCAGATCAAGGACCTAACTCTTCAATTCTATGAAGGCTGAGAGAGGTGAGGAAGCTGTAGAAAAAAAGTCTGAAGCTAGCAGAGGTTGGTTTTTGAGGTTTAGGGAAAGAAGCTGTTTCCATAATGTAAAAGTGCTAGGTGAAGCAGCCAGCCAAGTGCTGATGTAGAAGCTGCAGCAGGTTATCCAGATGATATCTAAGATGACTGATGAAGGTGGCTATTCTGAACAACAGATTTTTAATGTAGATGAAACAGCCTTCTATTGGAATAAGATGCCATCTAGGCCTTTCATAGCCAGAGAGGAAAAGTCAATGCCTGGCTTCAAAGGTTCAAAGGACAGGATGACTCTCTTGTTAGTGGCCAATACAGCTAGTGACTTTAAGTTGAAGCCAATGCTCATTTACCATTCTGAAAATCCTAGGGTCCCTAAGAATTATGCTAAATCTACTCTATCTGTGTCCTATAAATGGGACAACAAAGCCTAGATGGCAGTACATCTGTTTACCGCATGGTTTACTGAATATTTTTTTTTTTT